AACGGTAACCCAGATAATCGATTGTCAACAAGTGATAATCGATTATTGGTCCTCTCAGAAGATTCTGGGTTTTGGCTGCAAAGACTGATAATCGATTATTGCATAAGTGATAATCGATTATTGCGTGCTTCAGAACTTTGGAAGTTCAAAGCTGCAGGGGCTGATAGTCGATTGTCACTAAGGTGATAATCGATTATCACCCAGCTAAAGTCTAGCCAGCTGAAACCCGTTTGGAAAAACCGAGGTCCAAAAAACGAAGTGTTCTCAAAAGTAAAAACCAAGTTTGAAAAACATTGTATATGGCATAAAATAGTGAAAACAAGACTTGTTCGGTAAAAACCAAGTCTCCAAGGTCGTACATCACGTGCGTACGGTTTTGACCGTTTTTCATGTGTTAGACCGAATGACCAAGATACAAAAGTGGTTTTTATAAAATAATTATTTGGGAACATTTTAAAAATGCTCAGAGGTAAAAACATGGTTTAAAATATTGAAAACCACGGAGTTGGTTCGGGCGCCAAAAACCGAATGCCGAAAGCCGAACGCCGAAAGCCGAACGGCGAACACCGACTTAGGTGGTTTCGGTTCCGAGCAAGGACCAGGGATTTTAATAATAAAAAATCATCAAAAATATTTGTTTTGATGCACAAAAAATATTTTATGATTTGTAAAAATTGTTTTGACTCTTTGAGAACCGAGACTTGAATTTATTGTCGGTTTTGATCACAAAAAACCGACTCGACTAAGTCTTCAATTTTTGATCTTGTCCTTGAGTCTTTTTGGTCTTGTTCCAAGCCATTCTTCATGCCTTGAGTTATTCAACGAAACTCTTCATATCCACGGTGGTTTGGCAATTATCAAAACCTGTCAGAAATGAACACGACTTTAGTTTATCGTACAAAATGTGTTCCAACACTAACTAGACCAGACTAGTTATTATTTTGAGGAGGAGTATTGGGAGCTTCTACATTGGAAAAAAATTACTCCGATCCGTAAGAAATACCACTAGGATATTTAGAAGAGTGAAACTCTACTATACCAATTGGCTTTAGCTTTTAGTTAGAAAGTTAATCCTGACTTTATATGCAAGTGTTAAATTTGCTCGATACTCCGACTATCAGTTCTCCGCACTATTAACATGGTATCAGAGCTTTCTTGACTAGGTCACAAGTTCGAAATACACCGCCACTCAATTTCTAAATATTAAAATTTTATGTGCAAGACTCAAATCATCACACCTGCATGTAAGGAGCATGTTAAAGTATAAATACTTTTCACAGATTCACAACCACAAACTTAAACTTTTGGTTGAGTTGATATTTTAAAACCTCCAATATTCTTTTAAAGAATAGAATAATGAAAAGTATCCTTATAGAGAATTATTTGTAAAGTTTAGTTCTCTTTAAAAATATATTCCCTTCTTCCCCAAATAAAATTTTATTATTTTTTTCATCCGTCTAAAAATAAAACTTTCATTTTTTTTTTGTTTTCAAAAAAACGAAATGAATAAGTGACTTAAAACATTTCTCTCTTGAATGAACAAATTTCATCCACACATTTCAATTTTAAACAATTTTCTTCAATTTCATGAAGTGAAATCAAATTTTTTTGTGTGTGGGAGGGACACCTTCTTCTTGCTCCCGCCATTCAGCCATTAACATATACATATATAGTATGTGACACATGCTTGTGAAGTACATGTATTTATATTGATTCCCGAGAAAAACCAAACATGTGAAGTACACACACAAGGAAACGAAACCAAGCAAGGACGACTAACGGCCATGCATTCTCTCTCCCCGTACTAAACCATTTGGTGTGCTTGTCAACTATTTATTTATTCGGCACCCAATTATAAAAGAAATCAAACCAAACACAAAAATCTTCATTCATTCTCTTCTCTTCTTCTCCATCTTCCCTCTGCAAATATAATGCCTGAGCTGTACACAGTATCATCATCTGTAGTTCCAATAATGGAAGAAAAGCCCTCTTGGTTGACCACTGCAGTGAAGAGGGTCTTTGGGTGTACTTACAAGGACCCTAATAAGACTCCCAAAAAATGCAGACAATACAACCACAGTGACGAAGAAGAAGAAAGCAAAGTTTGGGTCGCGGGCAAGCCGAAAGTGGAGATCATCAGGCTGAAAACACCGCCGCAGTCTAATAGAAAGCTGCTCTTCGCTGCCATTGCCATTCAATCTGCTTTCAGAGCCCATCTGGTAACTAATTAAGCTTTCTGATCTCTGACCCAAACTTCCTTTCTTTTCTTTCCTTCTCTCTTTATCCACTGCAATAACAAAATTAAACAAGGGAAGAATCACAGAGAGAGGAAAAAAATGGTTTTGCAGGCGAAGAGGGCTGTGGGGGCGTTGAAGGGGATAGTGAAGCTGCAGGCGTTGATAAGGGGGCAGAACGTGCGAAGGCAAGCCCAGAGAACGCTGAAATGCATGCACGCTCTGTTCCGTGTGCAGGCCATGATGAAGATGATGACGACCAGAGTAGACGACCGCCTTCCATGCCCTCCCCGCATTTCGCACCACTCTGCCCGCAAAAAACCCATCTTTGCTGCTGAACCACCTTCAATTTCCCACACATCAATAGTATGTCAAAATCTCACTTCACTCTCATTTTAGATCACTTCTTTAATTCTTTCTTCAATAAAAAATGTTCAAATATCCTAGAAATCCACCTAATCTGAACATGTCTGTGAAACAATGTTTGACACCAAGTTCTTCACATGCACTCATAATAAATGTCTTTGCATCAAATAAAATACTGTAACTTTCTGCATATATATCTATCAAATTGATAGAATTTAGGATGAGGTACGGACTACTAGATTTGGGCAATAAGACACTTGGGCTGAACCACATTAAAAGATTGAATCCAATTGATTAGTTAGTTCAACTCAAGAGTTTATATACTAATTATTTTGCTCTTGAACTTCCGACGTGGGATGACACTCTAACACAAATATTGAGGATATTATCTTAGATAATAACTTTTAGAGAGCTATGATTATGATTGTGGGTAGGCGTCATCGATTGGGTTGGTGCCTTTATGTGTCCGCTTTGAGTTTGTGCTATATATAAGTATGATTTGAGTCAGAGGTCTCTTGGAAACAGTCGTTCTACTTTTAAGTACGGGTAAGGTCTAAAAGGTCTAAGTAAACACTCTCCTCATATCCTATATACATGCACTAGTGTAATGCAATTGAGTTGTTGTATAGTTGGTCTTAAGTCAAACTTACTAAGGCCCCTTTTGGCATCAGCGTTAGAGATTGACATTAACATTTTGAAAATGCTATCTGTAGCTTTAAGCGTTAGCGTTTTCAGAATTAGTCTACACCATTAGAATTTTATCGAATACACTCCTTGCAAACAAGGCCTAAGTTTGTAGCATGACTCCTTTATTTTTTGTGCTTGACTTATACTACGGACTACGTAGTGTTTATTGTTATATACAGTACTTAAAATTTAACTCATTGTTGAAAATCATCAGTGGAAAATCAGCACCGGAGCTCCGACACATGGAAGAAACAATTCTGTGAACACTATTGAAATGGACGACTTACAGGCCAACTTTAGAAGAAGACTGCAGGAGTTGAGCCGTCGTCAGAGGCCGGTTTCTCCCGGCGGTTACCAGAAACCGATGGTAAACTCGGTCTTTCAGGCGCCAGGAACGCAGTCCCCGTTGAAATCCAGACCGGCGCAGGTGAGCCCGGCGAGTCCGAGAAACAGCTACTCAGCGGCGAACACCCCGTGCCACTGTCCGGCGGGGAATCTCCCCACCGCTACCCGATTCAGCGTGTCCGGAACGGGGAGAGAGCCAAATTACATGGCGGCCACGGAGTCCGCGAAAGCTAGGGTTCGATCGCAGAGCGCCCCTAGGCCGAGGCCTTCCACGCCTCAGGCAGAGATGGAGCGTCGAGGGCCGCCGGCGAAGAAATGCTTTCATTACTCCGTGCAAAATCACCGAGCAGGATATGGCGGGATTGAACAGCACTCCGTACGCTCAGGCATTAAAGATAGCGCCGGTGGAGAGATTTCCCCAGGATCCACTACCCAATTAAGATGCCGGTCTGGACTCCCAAGATAGTACTCGCTAGTCGTTGTATTTCCTACATAAATTTTTCTCTCTACTCTCATTAGAATGTTTGATTTAAATTAATTTATTTTATCCAAAAATTTACTGTGTAATTAAAAAATAAAAAATATATTAAAAGACTCACAAAATTAAATGTGATGTGTTTTTAATTTTTTCATCTCAAAATGATTTATAATTTTAATATTTGAACCTTCGTGTCAAAATAAAAAAATTATCACATTTTTTGTAAAACTTTTGAAAAGATGAGATTTTACAAGGTGGTTGAAGAGTGTAAACGAATTTAGGGTGGAGATAGTATTATTTTATAAAATAAGTAATGAAAATAGATAAACAAAGTAAATAAAATCTAATTCCATGAACAGTGATGTGGAAGAAAATATGTGGATAGAGGAAGTACGATCTTTTAATAATATATGTAAAAAAGTAAAAAAGCATTCCAATATGTGTATCTCGTCCCATAATGACTGACACCCTCTAATTTTTGTCAAGATAGAAGTAGTAGTTCTACTTTGCAAGTCTAACATAACTTAGGACTGAGTACTGAAATTACAGCTTAATATCGATAAAGTATTGATATTTTATTTAAAGTGCAAAATGAAAATGCTACTGTTGTCTTGGTACGCAGTATTTTTTCCATAAATATGTAATGCACTTTGCAAAAATAAAACACAATGTCTAATCCTTTTAATTTATTTTTTCAAAGATTTAACATAAAATAAAAAAAGAAAACTTACATATTTAAATTAGATCTTTTGCGATGGAGGAGAGTAGCAAATTTGAATAAAAAAATTGAACAATACACAAAAAAATGATGAAAAATGAAAATATATGTTAGAAAATATGAAATAACTATAACATGATATGATTAAACATAATATATAAGAGAAAAAACTAATATTTTAAATTAGTTATTACTATGTCGACGTGGTAGCATATCCATGTTATTGATGAAACGTGTGCTTATCGGGCAGCCCGTTTAATGCCATCTTCTTGTCGGTTACACTAATTCATATCTAGGATGTAGTCATTCCATTTCTGGTTGAAGTGGCATTAGATTTCCACAATACAAATTGATGTATAATAAAATGAACTGATCTACTATCATTCGATTGTAGTGACATATTGCGTATACGTGGTCACATGACATGTGGAATCTGGTACATTTCCCACTTGACACCACCAGTTGGCTAGATACACAAAAAATATCTCTTGGTTATTTGTGCCTCCGATGATGCCCCCTGCAACTACACGATAAATACCTTCCCTGACATGATGTGGCACAACACGACAATGCAATCGTGTATCTTCCACATGCATAACTTTGTTCCAAACGTGCCTTGCATATTTGTATCTCATCTTTTTCCATGTGAATCCTTGTGTGCATCTCTTTGCAAATAGTCTGATAAATCTTTCGTACGTGGTCTGAACAATAGTGTATATCTGTAGACTCTGACATCCCTTCATGATATGATTAAAGCTTTCGGAAAGATTAGTTTTAAAAGTTTTATATCGTGCCCCACCATCGTCGGATAGTGTTGTTGGGGACCAGTAGTGCGGTCCAAAACAAATTAAAAATTTATAAAACTCCTAACCCCCTAGATATAGTCAAATAAAACCATAGCTAGGGCAAGTAAGGGTCGATCCCACAGAGAAAGTTTGTACTTTTCAAAACAAATTTAGAATGCAAATGTTGAAATATTAGAATAATAATATTACTCATTGAATTATGGAGTGCATGATAGAGTATATATATGAGGAACTCCTAACAAAATTCGAAATAGAGAATGAAAACTCACTAAAAGACTACATATACCATAAATAGAAATAAGAAGCTGAATAAAAATCAAACACTACTTATGGGTATAACCCATTGATACCACTCGACAGGTTTGCAACCGCCCGACGGGTACCTAAGTCTGGCCCCTCAAGACCTAGTCAACCTGTGTAGTCTGACCGGGCGGATATGGAAGGGTCAGAACTGAGAGATAGCGACTTCATCCGCAGAAGGCACGAAGACTGACTGGTTGAAGACTGGCAGGATGAATGACTTGAGATGAAAAGTGGCACCGAGACGTGCTTGTTACTCTTGTAAATAAGAGAAAAAGTCTCATTAAGGAAGCATCCTTAAAATAATCCACACGGCTTGTAAACTTGTAAACGATCTCAAGCATATTAATAACTAACCGGGTTACAAGTGTTCCCACCTACAGCCCTTTCGTTTATTCATACTTAATATTTGCGTGCTTTTACACCATCAACTACCATAACCAATACTACGATATGTAATACTATTATTATTGTCTAACATCCCCCTCAAGCTAAACTTTGGCTGAAGCAAGAGGAAGCTTGGACTCTAGCTTGAAATTGGAAACTTTATTTTTATTCTAAGAAATCACTTTTATATTGATCTTAATTGATTGATATCAAAATAGGATTTTAGGGTACGAAAACAACATTTTCATAAAAATATTCGAGCTAGACAGCTCGGGTGATCGATCTAGCACCCGAGATCGATCCAACCCGTAGGATCAATCCCAGGTGATTGATCCAACACTATGGATCGATCCACCGTATTAATTTTTTTACTGTAGGTTATCGATCCAACCTTCTGGATCGATCCACCGAAGTATTTTGTTAGTGTTCATCGTCTTCTACCTTTGGTCCATTTTTCAGAAATATCATTTTTAGTCACCAAACTTCAATTAAACTATATACAAATGTTAGAATAAAGGCCCAAAGCTAGAGGGGGGGTGAACAGCGTTTAAAACAAAATCGCAGGAAATTAAAACGAGAGCGTTAAAGTAAAGAGCGTAAAGAAGGAGCACACCGGATTTTATCATGGTTCACCACAACGTGTGGCTAATCCAGCCCCCCGAGAGACTCTCTCGAGCTACACTAACTCCGTTAAGCTTAAGGGTGCTTAACAAAGCGATACAACTTGAGAACCCGAGTCACACGAGCCTCAACACCTTTGCTCGGAGATACCGCACTCCAAGACTTCTCACGAAGGAACAAGAAACTTCCTTCGAGTTTACAACAAGGGAACAAACTCCCTTAAAGTGTATGAAAACACTTAAACACTCAGGAATGAAACTCTCACAAAGAATAGATATGAGTGAACTAGTAAACGCTCAAGAACACGACAATTTCTTCAAGAATTGGCTCTCAAATAGCTAAGAAAAATAGGAATGATTATGCAATGAAGCAGTATTGAAATGTTGAAGAATTGTATGTTAAAAGAGAGGATTTGGGTGCCCTTTTATAGCCCAAAATGGGATAAACCCGTTGCTAGAGTTTCCAACAGGATGAAGACAAATTTTTCAGGGACACAGGCTGATAGTCGATTGTCAAACCATGATAATCGATTATCCAAAGATTCCCTGTCCAAAAATTTAAAATTCTATCCGTTGGAGGACAACGGTAACCCAGATAATCGATTGTCAACAAGTGATAATCGATTATTGGTCCTCTCTGAAGATTCTGGGTTTTGGCTGCAAGGCTGATAATCGATTATTGCAAATCTGATAATCGATTATTTAGTGCTTCAGAACTTGGAAGTTCAAAGCTGCAGTGGCTGATAGTCGATTGTCACTAAGGTGATAATCGATTATCACCCAGCTAAAGTCTAGCCAGCTGAAACCCGTTTTGAAAAACCGAGGTCCAAAAACGAAGCGTTCCCAAAAGTAAAAACCAAGTTTGAAAAACATTGTATATGGTATAAAATAGTGAAAACAAGACTTGTTTGGTAAAAACCAAGTCCTCAANAATCACGTGCGTACGGTTTTGACCGTTTTTCACGTGTTAGACCGATTGACCAAGATACAAAGATGGTTTTTACAAAATAATTATTCGGGAACCTTTAAAATATGCTCAGAGATAAAAACAGGGTTTAAAATATTGAAAACCACGGAGTTGGTTCGGGCGCCAAAAAACCGAACGCCGAAAACCGAACGACGAAAGCCGAACGCCGACTTAGGTGGTTTTGGTTCTGAGCAAGGACCAGGGATTTTAATAATAAAAGAAGTCATCAAAAAATGTCTGTTTTGATGCACAAAAAATGTTTTATGGTTTGTAAAAATTGTTTTGACTTTTTGAGAACCGAGACTTGAATAAATTGTCGGTTTTGATCACAAAAGACCGACTCGACTAAGTCTTCAATTCTTGATCTTGTCCTTGAGTCTTTTAGGTCTTGTTCCAAGCCATTCTTCACGCCTTGAGTTATTCAACGAAACTCTTCATATCCACGGCGGTTTGGCAATTATCAAAACCTGTCAGAAATGAACACGACTTTAGTTTAACGTGCAAAGTGTGTTCCAACAAGAAATACTCTCCAAAGTTTATAGATCATTTTGGTATCATTAGGTTGTAGTTTTAACAACAATTTCAAGGTTTATGATTCTTGGTTCTTCAATTATGTCAAACACTAAACTCTACCAAACGACCATTTATGAACGTAGAAACGATCTATGCGAACTTTTTAGTCACTAGATACATCTACGGGCTTACCTCGGGCTTAAATGGAGGTTTTGAGAATTTTCTGGCAGAACTTCTAGCGATGATAACTCCCAACTCTTGTGACATCTCACCAAATTGACAGCACCACTGCGTTCTCCACACTCATGGCTAACTCTCAGAACAAATTTGAAGGGAAATGGTGAAGAAATGAGAAGGATGTAGGTTCCTTATATAAAAAGAGGAGGAAGGAGAAGACATAGGATGCTAAGCCAGGTTTCCTATTAGCCGATCCTCAAATGATGGAAATCTCCTTCTATAACACCCTCCGTCCCGCGAACCCGGTTCACTGCGGCCCAACGAGCAGGAGAGGTTACGTAGACGGTTTTAAGGCCGTCTACAAGGAAAACCCTTGCGTTACTTGTAACGGAAAACCCTTGATATATTTTAAATCGACAAAACCGTTGGGAAATTAATTGCCATTAAAGAGACGTTTCGTTACGGAAGCAATAAAAGAAAATAAATGTTAAGACTTAAATAAAAAATGCAACAATGGTGGGTTCAAGCCCAAAACGGTTATATTATGAATTTGAGAATAAATTGGGTCCATACTGTCGCCTGTCCGCCGCCTTGATCTCCCAATCGTCCAGGTCAGGCTCCATGATTATCTTGCCTACCTGCGTATAGCAAAGAAAAACAACATTATACGCTCAGCAAAAGCTGAGTGGTAATCTAACAGTAGAACGCATAGTGCATTCACATTGATATAAACATAATTGTACCTATACTAAAGTACGAGATACCACATACAAGCTTGATAAACAAAAGATTACGAATAAACAATGATGCAATGCCAAATAATCCATGATGCATGAGTTAGACTGCGCAGTAGGGGTGTTCATCGGGTCAAACCCGGACCGGACCGGACCAGACCGGGATCGAATAAGAGGAACTTTGTGGACCGAGGACCGGACCGCTTAAGGTAAGGACCGGCCCGGGACCGGACCGAATAAATATAATTTTTTTAATTTGGTTTTATTTATTTAATTTAAAGTTTTCAATTGTAAAAAAATATTACTCTAATAAATTTTTCATATGTAACATACACTAAACATTTTCAAACATTAAATAAAATATATATTCTTCATCCATATTACATAAAATTTGTTTGTAATTTTTATTTTACATATAGAATATTCTTCTTCTTACTGTGTTTTTACTTTTTTGTAATTTTTTTTTGTGTTTTTGATTTTTTGATAGACGGATACATTTTTTTACTGTTTTTGGTCATAAAATTATTTACAATACTTTTTTGTTGATTGGAGTTTTATTACTGATAAAGTACAAACTTAAGTTATAGTATTGATACATTAATTTGAAATGCATTATATCGCTTATGTAAAGATAATGGTTACTTTTTCACGCTTTTCATGTTAAAAATATTTAAATATCATTAGAATTAATATCTTATTTTGAATTGGAATATATTAAAAAAATTATATTAAATACTAAAATAAAAATATTTTAAAAACTTTTAGTATTAAAGTTAAATTAATTTTAAGTATAAGAAAAAAACTTTAAAAATATATTAGAAAACTATATAAAAAACAAATATTTAAAAAAAATGTAACCGGTCCATCGGTCCGGACCGAAACCCTATGGACCGGATCGGAACCCGAATAAGGAAAATGTGAGGACCAAAGACCGGACCGAATAAGGACCGGTCCGGTTTTGGCTGGGTTTCGGGTCAGTCCGGGTTCGGACTGAATAATGCACACCCCTACTGCGCAGGGACACCCCTGCCCTTCGGTGATCATCCCCACGCGGTAGATGAGCCAAGGAACGCCTTAGTCTCCAGAAGGAGCCTAGAATGTGGGTGATAGTTAAGCCTAGCTACCATGTACGTACACAAGTCCTCCTGATGAAACCTGTTGGATCCCAAAGGTTCCTGGACGGGCCCACGAAGGAGGCGCACTAGGCCTGACCTCTTGTCGCAGTATGTGAAACCCGTTGGATCCCAAAGGCTCCTGGACGGGCCCACAGAAGAGGCGCACTAGGCCTGACCTCTTGCCGCGGTATACAAGTATGCCATGATCCTAAAACATGCGTCTAGGATGTACATGATGAAATGAATACATTGATTGAAGAATGAAGTTAAGTTCAACGCATACATATATGTTTGATTCCGTATGAAAACAATCTGTTCAACATGATGGCCCCGGGTTCAGAACTGGCTGATAATCGATTATCCATTGTTGATAATCGATTATCATGTTGTGCAGCTTCTGTTCCCAAGGTGCTGCGAATTGTGATAGTCGATTGTCACCTTATGACAATCGATTGTCAAGCTGATTTGTCCAAGACCTCTTAAGTTCAGAGAGGCCTGATAATCGATTATTGCTTCAGTGATAATCGATTATCAGATGAACCAGCTCTGACTCAGAAATCCGCAGGGGCTGATAATCGATTATCACCTATGTGATAATCGATTGTCACGCTTGTTGGTTCCAAGGAGAAGTCCTGCGCGACCTGATAATCGATTGTCTAATCCTATAACTCGATTATCATGGTGCGCAGCTCCTCATTTAGCCAGTTTGATTATAATCATTACGTAGGAAGTTTTCGGGATGAACGTTAGTTTATGTTTTCGCAGTAAATGAGCTATGAATTTATGGAGTTCCAAAACGTTTATATTAACGAGTTTGCAATCGAAGAGTCTATATAACGAAACACCATGATAAAGTGGACACACATAGATTTAGCTGGGTAATCCTATGATTCTATCGATATGATTGAACTACAAATTCTAAAGTTAGAGGGCAACGTACTCACCTTTAACGCAGGGGTTAACGATAATGGAAAACGAGATGAACGTACAACGATGACGAACGACGAACGAACGACTTCTCGCGTGAACTTCCTCATCTTCTACCCGTCGGAATCACCTCCTAGGCTGCTAGGGTTGGCCGAAAATGCAATGGGAGAGAAAGAGAGTGGAGTGTGTGAGTGGGGTTACAATTGTGGTGGAGAAAATGAAGAGGAGAGGGTTGCTTATATTGATTGGGTAATAATGAGACAATAATGGAGCATTTAAGTTAAGGAAATGAGAGGGAGGTGAAGGGTGTGTGGCGTGGGAGAGGGAAAGGGGAGTTACTTCCCATAAATTCACTCCGTTGTGTAAAATCTGATCTGAACGTTACGCGTTTCCCCCCGAACGGGTCCGAATTGAGATCCGTTTGCGTCTCTGGAATCAGACAGTCAAATCGACTATTATCACATGATCAAATAAATTTTCCTAAGGATTTTATTTTCCCAACCCTGGTCCGAGTTAGTAATTAATTAATTAAATTAATCAATTCTATTAGACCGGGTCGTAGGGCGTTACACCTTCTGCGAGATTTACACGTCGTTCCCTAACCGGACTAATTTTGCTTCCAGTCACGGTACACTTTTTGGTCCAACTTCGTCTAAATTGAAATCCGCTTGAATCGTTGGGGCCACATAGACAAACTCTACACAACGATATAATTTTAATTATTTATTGACAACTTTATAAATTACTTATTTTTGGGTCCTTCTCAGTAATTAATTATTTATCAATTACTTAATTCTGATATGCCTATTTTCGGGATGTCACATTTTCTGTATAAACAAATTATGTTAAAATGATGTGTGAAAAATATGGAACTCAACAGTATACGTTTTATATTTTTTAAAAATACTTGACAGCCAAAACGGTGAAAATCAAACACGTAATACTAACCAAACGGAGTAGGAAAACTTTTAGTTTTCCCATCTTGTTTCTCACACTTAAAAGGTGTAACCTTCATTCATTCACTTAAAATCATTAAAAGAACATTAATGATTTAGCTATTTTTTAATTAAAATAAAAATGATATCTTTTTTTATGAAAACCATCCAATTTTTCCTCCCCTCTACCTATAAACACATGCCTAGGGTGATTAGTATAGGGCACTTGATCTTAAGAGAGTGTTTGGAGGACAACGAAGTGTGATAACGAGAATGTACTTCCAAAATTTTTTATATACCTTTTCGTTAACAACATCAAAGGTGTGCCTGTTGACCCTAACGTTTAGCCATATATTTCATGTTAATATATTTTTGTGCATTCTGTTTTTATGAATAATCTAAGAGGAATTTACCTAAATAGCACTAGAACATAATGACTTTCCTTGAATAGCACTACATATGGTTTTTTTCTCAATGTAGTACTTTTAGTCATTATCCATTAGTCATTATTCAAGTAAATGTTTGCTATCACTGGTCATTATGGACATTATAAAGTGCTATTTAGGGAAGAAAACAATCTAAGTGCTATTTAGAGAAATGACTTAAGTTTTAGTGCTATTTAGTGCAAATATTTCATAATCTAAATATACCAATTGTTATAAAAAAAACTTCGTATTACATATATACATTACATTAAGGAAGAAAAAAACATAGATACATAAAAAGGGAAAGAAAAGACAAATGTTTTTATTTTTTTATGTTGAACTTCTGCTTCCATTTTGGTTTGGCTAATGAAAAATGACTTGTTTTAATAATAATAATAATAATAATAATAATAATAATAATAAACATATTAATATCTTTCCCCGGATTTCTAGAGCTCTAGCTCTACTTTTTTCTCTTCCTTATTTTATCGTCTTTTAATATGCTTTCGTTATGTACTCCGCTATTTCCCTTAATTAATTAATAAAAAATCTTTATGATCTTTGTTTTTTTTGTTAATGTCAAAAGGGGGAAGATAATGGCTATGCATATATTAAGGGGGAATTTTTTAAGGGGGAATTCCCCCTTAATATATGCATAGCCCTTATCTTCCCCCTTTTGACATTAACAAAAACAACAAAGATCATGATCTTTTGATCATGATCTTTTAGGTCTTGTTACAAGCCATTCTTCACGCCTTGTGTTCCAACAATTTCCCCCTTTTTGATAATGGCAAACAAGACGGGGATATGCACAGGGTTTTGATCTTTTTGAAAAAAAAATTCCCCCTTAAAAAATTCCCCCTTAATATATGCATAGCCCTTATCTTCCCCCTTTACTTTAACGCTCTCGTTTTAATTTCTGCGATTTTGTTTTAAACGCTATTCACCCCCCTCTAGCGTTGGGCCTTTATTCTAACACATACTTCGAGCCTGAAGAACTTCCGAGTCTGAGGACAAACTCTTCTGAAGAAGGGGAGGATGATATACCCCGGGTGACTACCAACGACTCTAAAGTCGTTAAACAAATTAATGGAATAATGGCTAAGTGTTACGATCCCTTTTGGGCTAAACTTATGAATTATAAAACCCACAACATAGCGATAATATCCCTGAGCCCAACACCCATATAAAACCAAGTCTCCCTCACCAAAACCAAGTCCCAAAGTATCCAAAAGCTAGCCCAAAACTACATTTGTTTTTCTTTCACCCCTGGCCGAAAAACATCCAGCCCAAACCCATGCCATAACCACATTTTGCTTCCCCAACTAAGCTGAGCAAACAATCACTCTTTATATCCACGGCGGTTTCGCAATTATCAAAACCTGTCAGAAATGAACACGACTTTAGTTTATCGTACAAAGTGTGTTCCAACAATTTCCCCCTTTTTGATAATGGCAAACAAGACGGGGATATGCACAGGGTTTTGATCTTTTTGAGAAAAAAAATTCCCCCTTAAAAAATTCCCCCTTAATATATGCATAGCCCTTTTAAATAGTGAAAACAAGACTTGTTTGGTAAAAACCAAGTCTCCAAGATCGTATAATACGTACGTACGGTTTAGACCGTTTTTCACGTGTTAGACCGATTGACCAAGATACAAAAGTGGTTTTTATAAAATAATTATTTGGAAACATTTTAAAAATGCTCAGAGGTAAAAACAGGGTTTAAAATATTGAAAACCACGGAGTTGGTTCGGGCGCCAAAAACCGAACACCGAAAGCCGAACGCCGACTTAGGTGGTTTTGGTTCTGAGCAAGGACCAGGGATTTTAACAATAAAAGGAATCATCAAAAAATGTTTGTTTTGATGCACAAAAAATATTTTGTGATTTGTAAAAATTGTTTTGACTTTTTGAGAACTGAGACTTGAATTTATTGTCGGTTTTGATCACAAAAGACCGACTCGACTAAGTCTTCAATTCTTGATCTTGTCCTTGAGTCTTTTAGGTCTTGTTCCAAGCCATTCTTCACGCCTTGAGTTATTCAACGAAACTCTTTATATCCACGGCGGTTTGGCAATTATCAAAACCTGTCAGAAATGAACACGACTTTAGTTTATCTTATAAAGTGTGTTCCAACAGTCTGGGCTGATGTCTTTGATGTCGAATGTGGCCGATACTCCATAGTCTCCCGGAAGGTTGATTTTGAAGGCATTATCGTTCACCTTCTCCAATATCTCGAAAGGTCCATCGGCTCTTGGTAACAGCTTCGACTTGCGTTTTGTCGGAAAACGCTCTTTCCGGAGATGAATCCATACAAGATCGCCCGGTTGAAAGTGAGCGTCCTTCCGCCCTTTGTTGATGCGTGCACTTACTCTCTCGTTCATAGCTTCAATTCTGTCCCGGACCTTGTTGTGTAGGTCCTGAATCGCCTTAGATCTCTCGTCGGCTTCCCAACTGTATTTGGTATCCGTCATGATAGGATCAAGCTCTAGTGGGGTCAAGGGATTCGAACCATAGACGATTGTGAAGGGGGATAGCCCGGTAGTCTTGTTCGGGGTTCGGTTGTAAGCAAACTCAGCGTGTGGTAGTAACTCCTCCCACTGCTTGATATTTTTCTTTATGAGTGCTCGGAGGAGGGTTCCAAGGGTGCGGTTGGTGACCTCGGTTTGTCCATCGGTTTGGGGGTGGCTAGACGTACTAAACTTGAGTCTAGTACCCAACTTTCTCCATAGAGTCATCCAAAAATGACTAAGGAATTTGGTGTCTTTATCCGATACCATGCTTCGAGGAACGCCATGGAGTTTGACTATCTCTCGGAAGTAGAGATCCGCAATTTGTGAAGCATCATAAGTGGTAACACATGGCACGAAATGGGCCATTTTTGAGAATCGGTCCACGACGACCATGATCGAATCTTTGCCTCGTTGTGTCCTTGGTAGCCCGGTGATGAAATCCAAGCTAATATCTTCCCATGGTGCGTAGGGAACGAGTAACGGCATGTGCTTTCCTTGGGGCAGCGAGTGACTCTTTGCTAGGTGGCATGTGTTGCAACGCTTGATAAAGTGCTCTATGTCTCGCTCCATCTTTGGCCAAAAGTAGTGTTCTCTCATCATCATGTGAGTCTTATCGACCCCATAATGACCAGCTAGGCCTCCTCCATGGACTTCGTCAATAAGGGTCTCACGAACGCTACATTTTGGAATGCAAAGTTGGTTGCCATGGAAGAGATATCCATCCTTGATGAGAAAGTCTCCATATGGCCGAATGAGACACTTAGAATAAGTGTCTTTGAAGTCTTCATCCTCCTTGTATAGCTCCTGCAAAAACTCAAAACCGACAAGTTTGGTACTAAGTACCGTTAGTAATAAATGCCTCCGGGACAAGGCATCCGCGCCCTTGTTCATGGTTCCGTTTTTGTGTTTGATGGTGAAGCTGAAGGTTTGGATATATTCGACCCATTTAACATGCCGGGGTCAGAGTTTATGTTGCCCTTGGATGTATTTCAAAGCCTCATGGTCGGAATGCAAGATGAACTCCTTGCTTATAAGGTAATGACGCCAGTGCTCGAGTGATCGCACCAAGGCGTAGAACTCCTTGTCATAGGTGGAATATCACCTTCTCGTATCATTTAGCTTTTCGCTAAAGTATGACACTAGGTGTCCTTCTTGGGATAGGACAGCCCCAATTCCAACTCCCGAGGCATCACACTCAACCTCGAACAACTTCTCGAAACTAGGAAGGACTAACACGGGGGCATGTGTTAACCGTTCCTTAATTGTCTCAAAGGCTTGTTGAGCCTTAGGATTCCACTCAAACTTCTGATTTTTAGTCAAATCAGTGATGGGTGTCGTGATGGTGCTGAAATCCTTTACAAATCTTCGGTAGAAAGAGGCTAGGCCATGGAAACTTCGAACTTGCTGCAACGATGAGGGGATTGGCCATTCACGAATGGCTTGGGTCTTCTTCTCATCGACTTTTATTCCTTCACTTGAGATGAAATATCCAGAGAACTCTGTTTCTTGAGAAAAAAATTGACTCTTCTCAAGGTTTCCATACAACTTCTCCTCATCTAACTTCTTGATCACCAATGTGATGTGATCAACATGCTCCTCCTTACTTTTGCTATAGATTAGAATGTCGTCAAAGTAGACAACGACAAAATGACCTATGAAGGGCTTCAAGACTTGATTCATAAGCCTCATGAACGTGCTTGGGGCATTGGTTAGCCCGAACGGCATGACCAACCATTCGTATAACCCAAACTTTGTCTTGAACGCCGTCTTCCACTCATCTCCTTCAAAGATGCGAATTTGATGATAACCGCTCCTAAGATCAATTTTGGAGAAGATCTTAGAACCATGTAGTTCATCCAACATGTCCTCCAATCGTGGAATTGGGTAACGGTACTTGATAGTGATCTTGTTAATAGACCGACTATCACAACACATACGCCAAGTCCCATTCTTCTTTGGCACCAAAAGAGCAGGGACAACACATGGACTCAAGCTTTCTCTCACAAATCCTTTGGTTAGTAACTCATCAACTTGCCTTTGGATCTCCTTAGTTTCTTCGGGATTCATTCGGTAAGCTGGTTTGTTGGGTAGGGCGGCCCCAGGGATGAGATCAATCTTGTGTTGAATGTCTCGCTTCGGTGGTAGGCCGTGGGGGACATCTTCGGGGAAGACATGGGAGAATTGTTCCACAATGGGTTTGGCTAATGGGTGAAGAGGGAGGGGTAGGGAAATGGGCGCGGGTGCTTCATTCTCGAAGAGAATTAGTTCCTTTTGGGGTTCATACTCATGGTGTTCGGCTTGTAATATAGTGGAGATGAGGGCGGGGGTTTCTTATTTGGATGGTGGGGAAGCCGTGGGGGTAGAGGGAAGTAAGGAAGTGAGGGTAACCTTCTTCTTGTTGATGAGGAATGAATAGGTGTTGGCATATCCATCATGGAATACCTTCCGATCAAATAACAAAGGTCGTCCCAAGAGGATATGGCAGGCATCCATTGGAATGATATCACACCATATCTCGTCGGAATAGCTTCGTCCAATGCTCAATGATATCAAACTCCGGGAATCCACGCGTACCCCCTTACCATGATTCAACCATTGAATCGAGTATGGCTTTGGGTGTGGGGAGGTCTTCTACTTCAGCTTATCTACCAACGTTTTGGAAGCTACGTTGGTACAACTTCCGCTATCCACGATCAAAGTACACACCTTCTTTTGAATAGTGCAACAGGTATGGAAGATGTTCTCCCGTTGTAGTTGATCATCGGGACTAGCTATGCTACTCAAAGTCCTTCGGATGACCAAGAGGTCTCCTTCATCGGCTCCGATACTCTCTTCTTCTTCAATCTCTTCTTCAGGCCATGAGGGGCTGATCTCTTCTTCTTCATACTCAACAATGGCCATTATCTTCTTGTTGGGGCATTCATTGGCAAAATGACCTATGCCTTGGCAACGAAAGCATTTGGGAGTTCGTGTGTTGGTTTGGGCTGTTTTAAAGGGGAGTGGGTTGGAGGAGGTAGACGGGATGGAGTTGGGTTTTGAAGGGGTGCTTTGAGCAGGGGCATTTGGGGTTTCTTTTGAGGTAGTAGGAGGGGGTTTGGAGAAGGGGGAGGTACGAACAAACGGGATTTTGTTTCTTTTAAGTTGGGATTCAACTTTGAGAGCCAGTTTAGAGAGTTCTTCGAAGGTATCATAGGGTTGCAGCTCAACTACATTAGCTATTTGAGTGTTTAATCCAAATAGGTAACGTACCAATGTTTGTGAATCGTTTTCTTGAAGGTCACACCTCATTAAGAGTTCTTCAAACTCCCGAGTATAGTCTTCAACCGAGCGAGGACCTTGCCTTAGGTGTTGAAGCCGGGCAAAGTTGTCTCGTACATACTGTTCGGGCAAGAACTTCTTCTTCAACAAGCTCCTCATTTTGAGCCAAGTCTTCACGGGAGCCTTATGTTCTCGCCTTCTTTTGGTGGAAAGGTTGGACCACCAGGTGGACGCATACTTCCGGAACTTCAGCGCCACGATTTTGACTTTCTTCTCCTCGGGCACATCTTTGAAGTCAAAGACGCGTTCAACAGTTTTGAGCCACTCTAGAAAGTCGTCGGGATCATTCTTTCCTTCAAAGGTTGGTATGTCAACCTTAAAATCATTAGCTCCTCGTTCATAATTCTCTCCTCTAGCGGTGTTACTAGAGTTATCTTCGAGAGGAACCTCTTCTTCTTCATCGCTTTCCTCCGGGGTGTTCACCATGCTCATCTTGATCTTGGTGAGTTCGGCAACTTGTTTTGCCAAGTACTCAACTTGGGCTTTGAGGGCGGCATTGGAAGCTAGAAGTTCTTCGTTGGAAAGGTTGTTGGATGTGTTTGACATGATAGCAAGGAAGGAGATGAAAAGGGAATAAGGTAGTAGTTTATGGAGAGGGGAAAAGGAATGGAAGTGTGTTGTTTGGCCCCAAGAGGATGTTCGACAACTAGGCTTTGATACCAAATGTTGTACCCGAGCTCCGGGATTAGGCTTAAGTTTAAGAACAAACTCCTTTAATTGCAGGGAAGGGGGAATAGTCGATTGTTCAAGTATGAAAATCGACTATCATATGGTTCTGTTTCTAGAGAGAAGTTAAAGGAGTTTCAGAGGCGATGGATAATCGATTGACAGAGAGGTGATAATCGACTATTGTGGGCTACAGATTTTCCGGGGAAGTTGATAATCGATTGTCGTAGGATGATAATCGATTACAGAAGGCTGCGGGGGTTTTATGAAGGATTTATATTCGACTGTCAATGGTGATAATCGATTATTTGACGGCTCGGGAAAGGAAAAGAAGTATTTTTTTGGGAAGAGGAACAAACCAAGTTGGTGTTAAGAGATATCACACACCCTTATCTTAACTTGGGGTTGAGTCTAGCATTCCAATAAGATAATACACACTTATTTAAATAACTAGAACCTAAAACTCACACTCAAGAGAACCACTCTTAAGATATAAGATTAGGAATTTGAAATGAATCACACAAGTGAGTCACTTTGATTTAAAAATGGAATACAATGCCTCCTTACAATGCTCAGGGATGAGCTTATATAGAAATATAAAAGGGAGACTACCAAGTCTCTTGTTCACAAATTAAATGAAATAATGGCCACTTGTGGATGTCCCTTTGGTGGGGAGAAAATCAGGGGTGTGGGTACCTGTGGGGAAGGATTCTTGGCCACTAATGGTGGGAAGGAATATGTGAACATTATTTATTATTTGATTGGTTTTTGGTGGGGTGTTCTTGGGCAGGATAATGGGGAAAGTGGGCTGGCTATTTTGGAGGTATTTTCTGGGCAAGAAATGGGGGAAACAAAGAGGGGTTGAAGGGTGTGTGTGGGTCAATGTGTCTTGGATTTTAGTGATTGTTTGCTCAGCCTAGTTGGGGAAGCAAAATGTGGTTATGGCATGGGTTTGGGCTGGATGTTTTTCGGCCAGGGGTGAAAGAAAAACAAATGTAGTTTTGGGCTAGCTTTTGGATACTTTGGGACTTGGTTTTGGTGAGGGAGACTTGGTTTTAGATGGGTGTTGGGCTCAGGGATATTATCGCTATGTTGTGGGTTTTATAATTCATAAGTTCGACCGAAAAGGGATCGTAACACTTAGCCATTATTCCATTAATTTGTTTAACGACTTTAGAGTCGTTGGTAGTCACCCGGGGTATATCATCACATGGGACGAGTTGAAATAGTTTGAATTTTTAGTTGTCGTGGTTTTAGTCTCAATTTTTAGAGAGGAATCAGAGTGCTTCGGTATATCACATTGTTCTATTCCGTCTTGTTTCTTTCGAGATCAAGATAATTTAAAACGATTCGAAACATCCTATTTTAGTATTTTTATAAAATGTAATATAAAAAAATGTGCTCATGCTTGAATTCTTGCCCACCACTAGGTCATACAAGCAATTTTTTCGTTGGTGGACCAACTATCAAACGCGACCAAAAACTAAATACATGTACACCAAATAAATTTTGTACCGATTTGATATTGATAAAAGAATAATTTTATTAGATTTACCATGTATAATATTTTCAAAGTATAATATTTCATCTAATTAAAATATCATGCATATCTAATTAAATAATAGGTCAAAAGTTAATTCTAATTGATTGAAAAAAAATAAGAAAACATATAAATACTCTCTAAAGGAGGTGAAAGTTTATTAAATTGACCAAGAGAAATAAAGAAATTATTTTAAATAAGTAATACATAACTCTTATCCTAAAATAAGAGTACATGTTTATTTCAAAATATAGCTCTTATAATTTAATAATATGCCATTATATATTGACATTTATAATATTTTTTAATATTATATAGGGAGCACCCTTCATATTAGCATTATAAATTTTATTTTGAAAATAAAAAAAATAAATGTTCAATTTTAATTCTTTTCAAATGCTGTATTTTATTTCTATTTGGGCAAGAGAAGAATAGATTATAGATACACCCATAGCGATCGGAAGAAGCTTGTTTGTTCCCTTGGGTGCATTTAACTTGTGAAGAAGCTAAGAAGGTGCTCTGTATCGGTTTCCTGCACTGTGTGGATTCATCGATGCAGTTCCTCTGAATTTCACTCGTCTCTTTCCTTTGTTATTTATTTGGAAATAATGTGATTCGGCTGATTTTTTCTCTTTATATTGGATCGTCTATTTGTTTGCATTAACGATGGCTTCAATACGGAGAACTCTATCGCCATATCACGAACGGCATAATCCGAACGGAGGCAATCTGTTTTCCATTTCCGTTCAATCGCAGTCCCAGAAACCTGTTTCCAGCGGGAAAGTCTCGTCTCAGTCACCTTCCTTTGGATTCCGCGTTTTCAGCTCACTCTGTGGATTTAGACATCCCCGGAAAATGGTTTCCTGGAGGAATTCGTTCTCCAGGTGTTTGATTTTGTTCGTTCTAGGGTTTGTACTAGGTGTTACAATGTATGGCGATCTCGACGATTTGAACAGTAAAAGTTTTGCCTGGAAAATGAAACCTCAGGTGGGGAATGATAGATTGGAGCGGAAGGGTTTTGTCACTGCTAGACCCAGTGCTCTTGTGGATAGAGTTCAATTACAAGTAGAGCAGAAGAATGTACAATTAGATTTAGTTCTGCAGAAACAGCTGATTGTTGTAACTCCAACATATAACAGGGCCTTACAAGCTTATTATTTGAACAGATTGGGGCAAGCTCTCAAGCTTGTGCAGCCGCCATTGTTGTGGATTGTGGTTGAGATGAATGCAGCTTCACTAGAAACTGCCGAGATTTTGAGGAAGATCGGAGTTATCTATAGGCATCTCGTGTGCTTCAAGAATATGACAGACATAAAGGACCGTGGTGTGCATCAGAGGAACTACGCGTTGGAGCATATTGAACAACACAGGCTAGACGGCATTGTTTACTTTGCAGATGACGATAATATCTATTCACTTGAGCTGTTTGAGAGTGTAAGAAAAATCAGGTAGTTTTCCCTTTCCGTCCTGCAATTTTTTGGGGTAACATGTGAATAACTATATTAATAACCCAAGTGCAAATATATACAAGCTAGGACGGGCATTCCCGAACAAATCAAGGCCAACAAAGACAAAATCAAGTGTTTTATGGTACAATGGGGATAAAGTTTATACATAACTTTATACACGAACTATTTCACCTTAGCAACAATACTACAAAACATCAAATGATTGACTATCAAAACAAACTCTATTCCGGGTCTTCCAAATCATGCAGACGGTCCAAGCAAAGGCAAGTCTAGCTGCCCTCTTTCTAGCCACGGCCATAAGGTGATCCTTCCGCATCCAACAAACTTCCCTTTCCAAGGTAGGTTACCGCCTCTCAATGCCCAACTAACTTCGAATAGCACACCAAACCTGCACAGAAGTCGTGCACTAGAAGAACAAATGGGATGTGTTTTCTGTTTCTGCTCCACATAGTGTACACTGTCTAGGAATGTCAAGAAAAGTCAGGGCCTCTTTTGAAGGTAGCCTCTTTCGGAACGCAAGCCAGAACGTAAAAGAAAATTTGGGTGGGATGTAGATCTGCCAAATGAAGTTCATCTAAGGTTTAGGGCAACCCCTAGTACATAAAAGATCATAGACCAATCCGGTGTTAAAAAGTCCCTTAGTACAAACACGCCCCAGTCCCATGTCAATAATGGAGACCCCTCCAAGTTTCTTCAAAAGCTCATCATGAATCCCCACCAGGTTTTTTTAGTTTTTTAGTAGATGCGAGTCCTGGGAGTGTGTGAGTCCTTGCAATAATCTCATATGATGTCACTGCATTTATCTTCAATATATGAACATCAATAAATAACATGCACCGTAAACTGGCAGTGTTGGATTTTTTGTGTTGCCTAAAGATTTCTAGTCGTAATGAAATGGGTTCAATAATTTGATTAAGGAGTCTACAGGTTCTTTAGCATTCATATTATTTTTTGGAAACTGCTTGTTTTTTTCATGTGTTCTTTAATTCTTATCTAACATCTTTCCATCCATAGTCGATTTGGAACTTGGCCTGTAGCTATGCTGCAACAAAGCAAAAATAAAGCAATATTGGAAGGTCCTGTCTGCAATGAAGGTCGAGTAATTGGATGGCACACAAATGAGAAGAGTAAACGGCTTCGTCGATTTCATGTTGATATGTCGGGGTTTGCCTTTAATAGCACTATCTTATGGGATCCAAAAGTGTGGCACAGACCCACTACTTCTCCAATTCGGCAACTGGACACAGTGAAAGAAGGCTTTCAGGTAAACACTGCTTCTGAGGCTATCATTTGCAATCTCGGGCTGCAAGGCAATTCAGTAACGTTTTGTGGCTACTTTGCAGGAAACAACCTTTATAGAACAGCTTGTAGAAGATGAGAGCAAAATGGAAGGGATATCTTCTGGCTGTTCAAGTGTGTTAAATTGGCACCTTCATTTGGATGCTAGTGAACTTGTTTACCCAAAAGGCTGGTTGATCCAGAAGAACCTTGGTACTGTTCTACGGGTAAAATGATGAGATCAGATGTAGATGTGGAAGAACACAGTTAATTGCTTCTTGAGGTATAACCCCATCACCATTGGTATCTGGGGGGGGGGTGCCAAGATGTACTCAGCCTATCCTGTAAAAAAGAGAGAGTTTTCCGTTAAACCTTTGATGCATTGTTGTATTCATCCAAAAATACATAGAAAGTAAGAAACAAGGGAAGTTTAATGTGTCATTTTGATTTAGTCTCTTATTTATTCATAGCTTAAGCATTGTCAATAATGACTATTCGAGCTCTATTGGCAATGGAAACACACGCTGGAATGTTTAAAATACTCAAAGTTGATACTTCAAATTCTCGTATTTGGTATTTGGGGAGAATAATGTTGGGACAAAGGGTGGAAAGGTTGACCTCTAAGGGTTTCTTCCCTGTACTCATTTGCTACGGAATAAGGACCGTGATACCCAGTTCTCTAATGATATTTCAGACATTCTCTGTACTAGATTCTTGTATACCTCTAAAAGGGAACTAGGAATGATAAGTGAGTTTTTGCTCTGTAGCTGGTGTCGAGTCTTAAAATGTCGAATTTTGTTCCCTCATTTCTTAGTACTTTTATGACCCTTGAAATGCATTTTATATGTAAACGATCATATTTTCTCATATTTGGCATTATAAGTCATTGTTTAAAGTTGCACATAAAATGCATGATTTAGAGCATATTTATATTTTGCAATTATTTTGGAGTATTTTTTATGTTGTCATACAAGTTTTAGATATATTTTTGAAAAACTTTACTTTCAATCATTTCTAATTAAGTTTAGTAAACAATTAAAGAAAAAGAATTGAATTAGAAATTAAAAAAAGGTTAAAAGTTTATAAATAAAAAGAAACAAACTACTAAAAGATTGACAAATAAAAAAAGAAGAAAGAAAGAATGGAAACAAGAAAAAAAGGGACAAATAAGTAAAAATAATGAGAACCCAAATGGTGTAACTAATGTTGGCAGCAAACTATAAAAGGGGACGCAGGCATCAGTTCGTGGGGACTGGGAAGAAAAGTATGCAGATGGAGCGAAGCAGAGGCAGAGCATATCATGAGTCAAATTGCTGCAACTCTTCATACAAGCTCTTCAATTTCAGAATGAGTTTTAATCTTTTCTCTTGGATCAGTTCGTACTCCAAGTTTTGAGTAATTTCTTATTCTTAGCCAGACTATTTTAAATCATGCATCTTTAATGTTTGAGACCGAGATTTGATTTTTATGGTTGGAATTTCAGTTTGGATATTTTGAGATTGTTTAATTTGATTGTCTATGAATTGTTGAATGCTTTTTGATTGATCCCCTAATTTGTTTGAGCAGATTCATATAGTAGTCTAACTTTATTGGGTCCGTAATTGCTTGATTAAAATTAGTATTGATTGGTTAGCCTTGGATTAGAAGAGTCTCATATCTAAATTACAAGTAATTGGTGCATGATGAGCATATTTTCAGATTTTGTTGGATGTATAATGGAAATATTCATAATTGATTTCACTGTTCACGGGGACTCTTTTGACCAATGTCTTCATCACGTTGCATTGAGTCCAATTTGATATTGAACTTCAAAAAATGCCATTTCATGGCTGACCATGGTGTAGTTCTGGGACATGTAGTGGGGTCTAGGGGTTTGGAGGTGGACAAAGCCAAGGTTGGGGTGAGTAAGGACTTACCTTACCCACACATTTAAAGAAGTTCGCTCTTTTTAGGACATGCGGGTTTTCATCGTAGGTTCATACAAGATTTTTGAAAGACCGCTTCACCACTGTGTGCTTTTCTAGTAAACGATTTGTTTTTTGAATTTAAAAAGAGATCATTTTATGAACTTAAAGAGAAACTGGTAATTGCACCCATTGTTCAAAGCCGTGACTATTCTTTACATTTTAAGATTTTATGTGATGCTAGTGACAAGGCAGTACGAGTAGTCGCTGGACAATTGTTAGAGAATCCTATGTCATAAGATATGCAAGCCTGCTCCTAGATCCAACACAATGCAACCACACCACAACTGAGAAAGAACTATTTGCAATAGTTTATGCGCTTGAGAAATTTCGAACCTATTTGTTTGGAACAAAGGTTTGGAAATTTCGAGCCTATTTCCGATCATAGTGCACTAAAGTACCTATTACACAAGAAAGAAGCCAAGCCTAGACTAATAAGATGAATCTTACTACAAGATTTTAACCTTGAGATTAAGGGAAAAAAGGGTATGTTTCTGGCCATCTAAGTACGATAGAAAAAAGTGCAACTAGTAGAGAATCAAGTGATTGGTTTTCCGATGATAGTTTGTATGCAATATCTGATTCCCCTCCTTGGTGTGCTGAGATAGTAAACTATCTGGTGACCAAAGCATTTTCTTCTAGCTATCATCGTCACTTGAAAGAGAATATTAGCTCCCAAGCTAAGTTTTACTTACAGGATGAGCCACACCTATAGAGATTTTGAAATGATAGGAATTGCGTTGATGACACCAAGATCCAATCCATCCTTGCTTTTTTTCCACTCACATGAGGGTGGAGGACATTTTGGGACAAAAAGAACTGCACATAAGATTCTAGATTGTGGTCTGTTTTGGCCCACCATTCATAAGGGCACAAATGAATTTTGCAAAAAGTGCGAGTCATATCAGAAAACTGGGAATTTGAGTAGTCGAAATCAGATGCCATTGTATAACTTTTATGTTTGTGAGAATTTTGCAGGTAATGACAAGTCTGGTAGCATGGTTGAGGGGCAAACATTTACCATTGGTAAGCGTAGATTCTCTTCATTGTTTTGGCGTGAATGGATAAACTTCGTAATGTTGACCTATCTACTCCTCATCTGCTGTTTGTACCAAAGATGAATTTAAGAGTTGGTACATCTTTTAAGTTGGTGTATCTTTCTTGCATAACTAATTCGGACTTTAAGGACAGAGAGCATGTACATAACCTATTTACTATGTTTATTTCTGTATTTACCTTATATTTTCTTTTAAAGGACACCATTGATGCTCTTGTATTTCATGTTGTTATTATGGAAAGAAGAATATATCTCTTTTATAGTCTACAATGGAAGACTGACAGAACTTATTCTGTATAACGTCTAGGTAATTGCTTGGCTACAGGCTACTACACATGTTGATGCAGAGATTGTTCTGCATACCATCTTTTAATCTGACTATATGAACATTAGATTGTCATATGTGTTTTTACCAACTTGGAATGAGAAGCAATTAGGTGGAGCACTGTTTGTAATGTCAAAGGTACAAAAGACAATAATAATGTACATATAGTTTTAAATACTGTATACAAATTCATAGCAATAAATACTGTCTTGGTATTATTTTACTAAACTCCTGAAGATTAAATCATTATTCTCCATATAATGTGGTGTTCAACCCCAACTCTTTATAAGTTTATGGTTTAATTCATGCAGCCTTTAATGGTTTTTTACAGGTGCAGAAGATGAGATTGCATAGTGTGAGGGCGAATGGCCTCACTAGAGTAACAAAGTGTATATTTGCAGGTTATTTTTTACACGTTGAAGGTGTTTCACTTTTGGGCGATTGATTTGATTAAAACATGGATATTTTAGACTATTCCTTAAAGTGTGTTTTGTGTTTTACTCATGCAATTTTGCAGACCATTAACTACACAATAGCATTGAAGATGAACATCCCAAAATTTATTATTTCAATGATTTTATTGTCAGACCTGTAGCTATGTCTTCCGGCTAACATATCAATAGCCGAACAATACTCAATAAACAAATTTACAACATGATGGGCACAGGTATGTTTTTAAACAATTTGTCCATTTTGTGCAATCACCAACATTGCTACAATCACAACATTTGGCGCGTATATTTTCCATTTGAAGAAATTTAAATTCTATAAATTTGAATATTTTCATACTTGGTGATTGTTTAAATATTAAAAGTGAAACATATTGTCTTGGTTGGAATTTATTTGGCATTTAAAGATCTTCCTGATTAAAAACAAATCATATAAGGACCGTATAATGTGGTTTAAGTGGGCAAATGCTTACAAGATTCAGAATTAAGTTTTGATGGGTTTATGATTTTTGTATGGTAGAATAGATGGAAATACGGGATTGCATGAATCAAAGGTAAATGGGCTAAAGGTAGTGAAAATTTATATGCTAGCAGATTTTTTGAGGTTTTTAAAGTATGATTGATTTTGCTCATAGTCTAATAAGAGCTGATTCCTAAGTTAGGATTCAAAACCCTTTTTTTATGAGTCGGGTTTGGATTTATATTACAGGGTTATGTTGATGGTCAGTACAAATGGACAAATCTATCAAAAATTCAAACCCACTATTCCTGGGATTTCTGTAAAGTTTCATTTCAAAGCATGGTAAAACTAAGGTCACAGTTGGAGGATCAAAGGTACCATTGAATAACTATGTTGGGTATTCTCTTTTTTCGAGTTTCATTTTATATGAAAAGCACTTTATATTACCTAAATACTGTCTTCCTTTGTTTCCCAGTTTATTCATTGCATAAGATGATTATGAAGGGGGTTCGGTCCTACTTACACATAACAATTTAGAAAGTAGCATTTGTAATGACAATATCTCATCTTAAAAACACCTTTACGACATACCAAATTCTTCTTGCCCTGTATCTCCACCCTTTCCCAATAAGTCCCTGCACCATTCGGAAGAATTATCTCCATATGGAAAATTGCTTACAAAAGAATGTTAGTCGTGGTTGTGGTTCTAGATTTACACTTATGCTTTCTACACTTAAGCAATTATTGGTATAATGAGTAGTTTCCCTTTTTTGGATTTCCATTGTTTTTTAAAACTAATTTGTTGTTATTTATTTTCCCTTTTCAGTTTATATTTATTCATATTATCTAAAGTTACTAATGTTTTTTTTAACTAAAATAGCACTCACCTAACTGTAAGATGGCTTGCAAAAACTTCAAAAAAATGAGTGATAAAAATAAAGCCCAGGCGTTCTTTACTCTTCTGGTAGTTGTGGATTTTCCTAAAAGTTCACAAGCTTTTAGTCTCTTAACTACGGAGTTCATCAAATAAATTTAATAAAAAACACAGACAAACCATATTATCTACAAAATATACTCATCGAAGAGCGACAATAACCAGGCAGTATCTATGGGGTTGCGTCACCACCAGTAGTTGGTACAGACTTCCCGGCACCTTGCAAAAAAACAAAGATATGATATGCTTCACCGAAGAGATAGATATGTTTTTAGTCTATAAAATTAACAAATTTTGTTTTTGGGTACCCTAAATTTTTCTGTTGAGGGTGTCATGATGCACGTGTATAATGAAGTACTCATTTAGGCAATTCCATAAAGAGCACTTAGCGTCTAGCTTTGCATGATTTAATAGTCTGATCCAATAAAATTATTGGGCAACTACTTTATCTCCATAACACAAAAAAGTTAATTTACAAACAACAAACACGTGCACACATCCCTAGCACGTGCACACAGTGGTTTGCTAAATTGAAAGATGCCTTTCAGAGTAAGGGATATATAATCAATCTCAATTTGATCCAAATTTTTCTTCTCAAATACATTGGTGCACATATCACTATTACAACTGTTTATGTGGATTTATGTGGATGACACTCTTGTTACGGGTTTAGATCCTGCTGCCATTTCATCTCTTAAATATTTCCTTGATACTACATTCACCATCAAGGACTTGGGCATTGCTCACTGTTTTTTAGGTATTGAATTAACCTACACCTCTGATGGCATAATTTTTTCTCAAAGAAAGTTCACCCAAGAACTTCTTGCTTAACATCATTGTTTACATTGATAAACCTGTGAAAACTCCCCTTCCCTCATCACCTTAAATTTCATGGTGGTGGAGCCTCCTCTTGTGCTGATCCCATTGTCTATTGCAGTTTCATAGGGAAATTGAACTCTCTTACACATGCTCGCCCTGATATTGCATACTCTGTGCTGATTTTTTGAGTCAATTTATGCATTCTCCTCATGATACTCACCACCTGCATGGACCTTATCATCTTCTCCACTACTTGGTACTCTTGATCAAGGCATCCTCATGAAATGATGTGATAGCTCATCCCTTCATGCTTTCTCAGATTTTGACTGGGCTGCACGCCCCTTTTCAAGATGTTCTGTCACAGGTTAATTTGTCCTTCTTGGTGGCTCTCCTATCTCTTGGAAATCCAAGAAGTAGAGTATTGTAGGTGTTTTTATGTGCTTATAAACTGGTAAAAACTGCTTATAAGCAGTTTTTAACTTATAAGTCAGCTGATGACATGTTTTTCTGTGCTTATAAGCTAACTTATAGGCTGCTTATAGTCAGAAAAAATAAGTAGGTCTTAGCTATTTATTTTTAAGCAAGTTTTTTCGTTTCTCCGTTTTGAACAGATTATTTACAAAACTGTCCCTCATCATTAATGAATATTTAGAAATGATTTATCTTTCATTTAAGTCATTTTACTTCCACGAAAGAATATTTGACTTTTAAGCAGCTTATTAGTCAGAAATTGTTTATCTGCAATAAGTCAATAACCACCAGCACAGAGAAACACTCCCTAAGTCTTCATCTGAAGCAGAATACAGGGCCATGTCTCAAACTACGGTAAATAATCAGAATGAGTTCCTTGGTTGCTCTTTCTTTCAAATTCACTTCAATAAAGTTAACATATCACAATAAGTCAAATTCAGTAGCTACAATCCCTTTTCGCAGTGCATATAGTATTCCTAATTGCAATATTACCTCTGCACTATCCACAACTTCTGGGTTGAGTTATTGAGTACAACACTCTGAGCAACAATTCACAAATCAAGTTGGATATGAACTGTCAAAATACTCACAAATAAACTTTAGTCTCCTGAATCAGACAAGTAAAAACCTAGTGAAGAACAGTAAGTAAACAATGGTGTACACTTCTAGTAATTGTTGTAAACCAGACATGTGTTGGCTCTTACACTTCTAGTTATTATTGTTACAAACGTATAACAGATGAATATTCTCTATGAACCTAACTCAACCGACTCCGAATTTTGCGTGCCACTACTTGTATCTCCCCGTATACCAACCTTTTGTGTAATTGGTGGACCAGATCCTTTAGGTGACACTATCTACGTGATTTAACAGTATTTGATTGGTTTGCAGGAGAGGATGTTCATGATTAACAAACTTAAGAATTTGATGGTTTCAGGAAGACAAGAACTTCATGCACATTGGGGGTGAGACTTTTGCCAATGCAAGGATTGATGCAGGAAGAATCCACATCCCCTCTCCACATATCATCCCAGAAGCAACTGCCGGAACCAGAACCTCTGCCTTTTGGGACTTGATTTTGTGCCACACAACCACAATCGCGCTCCCGAGGCACATGTCTATCGTGAAGTAACCTCCAATGAGGAACGGCACTGCCATTGCCATCGGCAACGGAATCCAATTCCCCACCCTCCGCGGAGAAAGGTCCTTCGCCAGGTTAGTTAGGATTGCAAAACCAAAGAAACCATAGCAGAGCTGCAAGCAGTGCGCGGGCAAGGCCGAGAAGCCCTCCACGCTAAGGACAGCCATGTTCCTGTAGATGAGGGCGTAGGGCGCCTTGAACTCTCCTTTGGGGTTGCCAACATCGAAGGCATTGTAGAACAAGAAGAAGCTGAGAGGGGCGACCACACAGCCGATAACTGTGCCTATGGCCTGACTCACAAACATGGCTCTTGGAGAGGTGAGAGTGAGATGGGCTGTTTTCAGGTCTATCATCAGATTACACGAGACGTTGGCAATGGACTTGATAAGGCCGCATCCAGCAAGACCAGCCAGCACGCCGTGCTCTTTCCCAGCCAATGCAGCCATCATAAACAGCCCCAACTTGCCATAGTTGTAGGCCATGTTGAAATCAGTCAGGCCAGCCCCATAAGCATTGCAGAAAGCCAAAGAAGGCGCGAATGCATAGGCAATGATCACCCAATACCATTTCACCTCGGGGAAAATCATGGGTATGAAGATCACGGCAATGACAGCGAATGTCAAGTACCCAATGCCTCCAACCCACATTGGGATGCTTTCTCTAACGAATATCTCATCTTTTCTTAGCTCGTCACCCGTCATGCCCGGGTCTACAATAACAAATATCAACATTATTACTACGAAAAGTCTTCCGAAAGGTGTCCAAATAACAAATTTGTGTGATCCTAACCAGCAATCAATAGTCTTTTTGAAAGCATTCTTTTTTTTCAAGCTTAAAAAAACAATGGGAGTATTAAAACTAAAACTCTACCAGAAAGATTGGTTCTCTTTTTGAACCTGTCAAGAATGCTCAAGAGAGTGAAACACAATATCTTGACAAAGTTGTAAAGCCCGTCGCCTAAGAGGAGCGAAATGGAGATAAAGACCTAGCAAGAAATGAAGTAAAGCCATTGAGATATATGAAATGGAGGCAATAAATCTTTGTCTATGCCACCCAGACAATGACTGTCGACGAAATCCATGGTGTCAAACTTGGCGTGACCGTAGGATTGTCAGATTAACGGAAATAAATTTTAAAGTTTTAATTAGTTGTCGAGAGAGGACCTTGTAGCCAGTGAGGCTTTTCATGCTGGTTTCTGGGATGTTAGCTGGAAACCAAACCCCTTCCAGCCTTGCCACAATAGGCCACATTATTCCCCATGAGATGACAGCACCAAGAAGAAGAGATATGTTCACAATATGAGGACAGATCATCCCAGTCCCCACATATGTTAAACTGAAGTCGAAGAAAAATCTACAACAAAGAAATTCAGTGTTCAAAAACTGAGAAACAAGAGATAGAAGAACACATAATACTTAACGATTTGGGAATAATATGTATGTATAGATAGGTATATACGTTTGCTTCCATGCCTTCAATCCAAAAGTTGGGAACTGTGAGAAACCACAGTCATCTTTGCCAGTGTAAAACCACTGAAAGAAACCCCACAGAAAACTGTAAGAAAAAAACTTCAAGAACCCCTTCACCTGTTTTCTGCAAATGTGATATCAAAATTACATCTTTAAAATTTACTCAAATATAAGAAATTTCACCCCGGTTCCCTTGACAGTGCTTCCAATGTCATGAGATGACCTGAGGGCTCTACGGTGTCTCATTCATAAAATTGACGGTTCTACCCTTTCTAATCCCCGGTAAACCCCCCACAATGCTTCGACCCAAACACACCTCCTCACCCCCTTCAATTGTAAATCCCAACTTTAAAGGGGGTCAGGGGGTGGGTTTACTGGGAGTTAAGGGGGTAGAAACTGTCCATTTTACGAAATTTATCGTAGAGTCTCCATGTCATTGGGAAGCAATGTCATAAGAACCGCTCTATTAAATTAATACTATAACTAAATCTGTCAATTTTTATTATTATAATTTGTAACTCTGACAATAATTTAAGAGGAAATATTTAATATATTCAACGATTAGAAATCACACCTTCCAATCTGATCGCTCTTGGCATGGAACCCATTGATGAGAACTGCAGTTGCCATTCCAGTTGGGAAGGTCAATTTGTAGTCGATTATCAAAATCTGGGTACATAATTAAATATACAATTTAATTCTTTACATTAACTGAGATTTCAAAATTTTTTTATTATAAATCCAACACTTATTGATTCATTGTTTTTGTTGATATTTGGATATGGAACTACTTTTTTTTAAAATCTTATTGAATTATTTTTTAACTGTAAGGTATCATAAATGGTTGGGGTGAAGACAAGAAGGGTTTTGGGGGTTAGTGAGATGTAGTAATCAGTCTCGAGTCCAACGAAGTATCGTAGATGTCTTTTGATATAAGGGTTCAATGTTAATTGAACCGCACTATTTTTTTATGATTCTTTTAACTTGGCCCCAAATATCGTATTATGAAATTGGTCTATTTGAAGTGGCTATGGACCTATGGTGTTCCATTGGGCTCTGAAGTAATTCTTATCCTCTAACCCTCAGAGTGATAGGGGGCACGGAAAGGCTTGGGATATTAAGTAGGGGTGAGCAAATTAACCGGACCGACTGCGAAACCGAAAACCGAAATAACCGGAAGTTCGGTTCCGGTTTCGGTTTTCATGTAAAAATTATTTTCGGTTTTTCGGTCGGTTTTCGGTTTTTTTTGTAAGAAAAACCGAACCGACCGAATAACCGATGATTTTATTTTAATTTATTTTTTATTTTTTAAAATAAGAAAATATTTGATTAACACACATGCTTCTTTTTACTCTTTCATGGAAAACTATAATGTTTCACTTTTAAAAAATTTATTTGTTAATGTTTTGAACATATTAATAAGAAAAGTGTAATTTTTATATGAAATGGATAGTGTATATTCAAATAAAAATTAATCTACCTTACTAAATCAATGACAATAGAAAAGTCTTAATCTAAACTAATTTAATACATATCAATCAACCTTGCTGAATTAGTTTCTTGAATTTATAATAAAAAATCAAAATAAAAGTAATTAGAATTCGGTTTTTCGGTCAGTTTTTTTGATGTATGGGTGGTTTTCGGTTTCAATTCGGTCGGTTTTAATTTATGGTCGGTTCGGTTCGGTCGGTTTTCAACCATGTTAAAAAAAGTCGGTTTTTTCGGTTTCAAACCGAAACTGACCGAAACCGACCGTTGCTCAGCCCTAATATTAAGAGAGTAGGAATTATATTAATTCTGTGCCCAACAAAGCATTGATTGTAGCTAGGTGTCCAATGATATAATATGACAAAAACTCTAAGGGGCTGTTTGGCAACTTTTGAATAGGTAAGTGTTGAACCAGTAAGAGGTCTGAACCATTAAGTGCTGAACCAGTAAGAGGTCTGAACCATTAAGAGCTAGTATATTGCTTAACTATTCAGAGGCAAATGTCTGATCAATTCAGATAAGAGGTCTTAACCATTCAGACTCTGTATAATACTTAACCATTCAGAGGCAAATCTCTTAACCATTCAGACATCTGAACCATTAAGAGGCTAAAACAAACAGTCTGAACCATTCAGACATCTGAACTATTAAGAGGCTGAAACAAACAGCCCCTAAGTAATATCTCTCTAGATTTATAAATTGGTCAAAATTGCTTATAAATGAACATTTCATTGTGCTCGTTCAATACGTAACATTTTTAGCGTTTAACATTAACGTTTTAAAAACGCTCTTTGACAACAACGTTTATTTCCAGCATTCTTAAATTAAGTATGATACCACAATAGAGATTGGGATTATTGAGTGTAATTGCTTAATTAATAGCGTCGGCAGACGCTTAGCCAAAAAGCCAGGGCTAAAAAAAGCAAATCGAATCGATTAAGCAAACAAATACCTTTCTGAGAGGAATCAGAACAAAAAGACCAATAAAGCAAACAAGCAAAAGATAGCCCATCATCCACCCAATCTCAAGCCTCTTGTAACTGCTTGGATTGTTTCCCTCTGTCTCAACTCCAGCTAGCTCATATGTTTTCTTGTCCATCCCCAACAAGTATGATCCCAACCCACCTGAAAAAACCCAAAAATTTTAAAAAACTAACTCTCAATTTAACTAAAAGCTCAAACTTGTGATTGCAGACCTCCAATTGCGATGCTGTAGCAGGCGACGGCGCACGTCTGGATCATGGTGTTCTCCTGTCGCGTGAAGGGGGGAGACGAGACCCCGAGCCTGCGGAGAACCGCCGTCCACGTCCGGACGAAAACGAACGCCAGGAGCGCGGCGGAGACGTTGAAGTTGGGCGTGATTCCGGTGGTGAGGTTGAGCTTCATGGCTATCACGCTGAAAACGGCCCCTATCACGGCGCTGGCCACCACTCCCCTCGCCGTAATCTGCCTGTTCCACGGCGGCGGGAGGGTGGGAACCTCCCGAGGCGGCGGCGGCGGCAACGAGAGCTGCTCTCCATCGCCTCCTTCTACCTCTCTAGCTGATTGCTTGTTTTGGACAATCCTATGTTGTTCTTGTGAAATCATCTGGTGTTGTTTTGGAAAATGAAGTTTTTATGGGAATGTCTTTTTTTTAGAGCAGACTTGAATGGCATATATGGCTCTTGATGCCGACCAAAGACAAGACTTGGATTACCCTCTATAATTCACTAGTTGAGAGAGAGAGAGTTAAAAGTACTACTGATAAGGCATCTTGTGTAATTGGCTGGACGAATCATATAGGGGAGTCACGATCGAGTTTGGTGCCCCAATTGGCTTCAATGTCATTTTGTCATCTCATTAACTTATATAATTGGTTCTTTAAAACAAGCTATCTTTTTATATTTAGACATCTATTACCGATTACGAATGGTTTTTGAGATAAATCATGTCGTGGTAGTCGTTTCAAGCAAAGTAAAGAGTTGTGGGCCAAAGTGGAAGAGAGTAGTGAAGAAATAAAAACAATTAAGTGATCACGAACACCCAAACATTCAAGAATTTGAAGTGGCTATAGAAGGAAAAGTTATCGGTTGGGTCAGACTAGATCACTGAAGTCTGAGTCCCGTTAAGCCAGAAATTGATGATTTCGATCCGAAGAGATCATCATGTTTATGTAGAATACATGATATGAATCAATTAAGACCGTTCTCGTAGCGCCCCGAGCCATCCTTGTATATATGAAGAAGATTGTGATCCGAAGATAGGATCAAAATCTTCAACGTAAAATAGATCGTGATGCCTAGAAGATGAACGTGTACCAAACAAAGCGGATCCGCCTATGGTGCAGGTTAGAAATTTTAAATTAGAGGTTTTATCATAACAATTTTAAAAAGTACGACTCATCATATTATTATGATAGGTGTAATTTGCATCTAGTGATTTAATTAGTAGATAATTATGAACATGCACCTCACAAATTTAGTACTACTACACATCCTAATCCCATGAAAAAATGGAAAATAATTTGGAATCATAATAATTAATTAAGCTAGGAATTTATGGTCCGTTTGGTATACGGAATTGATGAAATTTGAAATTCCATGGGATTCAATTCCATAGAATTAAATTCTGCCAATTTCAATTGATTTTTTGCACCATCAATTCCAAATCCACATAATTTTTGTGCTACCAAACACCAGAATTGGAATTGAAATCCTCAATTCTAATTTCATAGTTTAAATTCCGTGTACCAAGCGGGGCCTGAAGGTTCGTATAGAAAGGGAGAAAAAGTCAAAATGATACTCTAGTTGATTTTTTTATTAAAAAAAGGACCAAATTTGTAGTGATGGGTCGAATTTTGAAATTAGAAAATGGGCATGTGTTAAGCACACGCCGCACCCTACCACAACACCACTTGTTGAGAAATATTATGCCGCCTAAAACAGTGCAATCAAGATTGTTAATTAATAGAAAAATTATCTAAAATAAACTGATCTTTCAAAATTAATTTTACCTTTTACTGTGATGCAATAATATCAATTTTATTGATATTTGCGAATTTTGGATTGCTATTAAGTTGCTAATGGCGGGTTAACTGTGATGCATAATAGTCATTTATTCTATGTTGAATGCTTTTTGAGATAAACCTTTTCGTGGAAGTTGTTTCAAGCAAAATGAAGAATTGTGGGCCAACGTGGAAGAGGGCAGTGCAGAAGTAAAATTAATTAAGTGATCAGGAACACCCAAAAGGTCAAGAATTTGAAGTTGGTATAGAAAGAAAAATTATCCGTCTGGTCGTATTAGATCACCGAAGTCGGAGTCCCGTTAATCTAGAAATTGATGATTGCGATCCGAAGAGAACACCATGTATATGCAGAATACATGATGATTTAATTAAGACCGTTCTTGTAGTGTCCTGGAGCCACCCTTGTATGAAGAAGATTGCGATCCGAAGAGAGGATCAAAATCATCAACTTAAAAAAAATCGTGATGTTTAGAAGATGAGCGTGTACCAAGCAAAGCGGATCGTACATAGTACATGTTAGAAACTTTAAATTAGATACTTTATCATAACAATATAAAGAATTGCGTCGTCTCGTCATATTATTATGATCGGTGAATCTCCACCCCACAAACTAATTTAGTACTACGATACTACACATCCTAATCCGACCAAAAATGGAAATGATACAATTTCGAATCATAGCAATTAATGAAGCTAGGAAGGTTCGTATAGGAAGGGAGAAAAAGGTCAAAATGATAGTTGACTCTTATTTTTATATATGCAAGACCAAATTTGTAATGATTGGTCGAATTTTGAAATTAGAGCCGGTGAGCGTTGCGCCGTTGGCAAGGCAAGGAATGCCAAGAGTAAGACTCGAATTCAATTCCTGGCAACTGCTGAGAGGCTACTATGCTAAGCATAGGACCTTTGCAAGTACCAGGTGCAGGTTCCGCTCTTCGCCACCAATCTGCGATTAGAGTCCAATTTACTTTCTCTTAATCGTCCGGTCAGGTCTGAGGGGACCCCCAAGATGGAGCTCATTCTTTTTAAAATTAGAAGATGGGCATGTGTTAAGCACACGCTGCACCCGACTTGTTGAGAAATATAATGCCCGCCTAAAACAGTGCAATTAAGGTTGTTTATTAATGGGTTATTTACCTATATAGGACTAAAACATAATGATTTTTTCTCAATATAGAACCATATGTTTTTATTTCCCAATGTAAGACAATTGGTCATTATCTATTAGTCATTATTCAACTAAATGTACAACATCATTTGGATATTATTTTTCTCACTAGAAATTATTAAGTCCTATTTAGAGAATAAAAAAGTTTATGTCTTGTATTGGGAAATGACTTATGTTTTAGTTCTATTCACTGCAAATTTCACTTTATTAATTGGTGATTAAAGTTTTACAAGTTTCCTTTTTCTTTTTTCACTAGATTCGAAAATTTTGTGATTAACGTTTACGCAAGCATGGTAAAAATAACTACTTGTATTTCAAAATAACTTTTATTTAAAATACTTCACTTTTAAACATAACTTTATTAAAAAGCTTCATGACTTCACTTTAATTTTCTTATGATTTTTTTGCATCATGTACCCCTGAATCGTTCAAAAATTGCATGAGTTTCTTATGAGCATTAAAAGTTTTGCTAATCTTCCCTAAATTTTTAAAAAGTTGCACTAGCGGTTCCTCTGTGCCAGATTTTACAGTGTGTTAATCACACCCTCATCAATATACTTGTGAATTTGTGATAGTGTAAATTCTATCGACCGATGTATAGCTGGGCAAGAACGTTTAACTAATTTAACAAAATACACCAAAATTCAAACACAGAGATTTTGACGTGAAAACCCAATTGAGAGAAAATCGCGTGTCTCTTTTGGTGGTACCTTGCCAACACAGAATTTTTATTAATATCGAGGAGTTGTACAGGTACATAATAATTTAAGTTCAAAAGCCATTAATGGAAGCTTGAAGCTTATTTGAAGAAATAAAATACAATAAATCTAGAGAGAAAGTGTGGGCATGGAAACAAGGGAGGAAAATGGTCTTCCCTTTGATTAAGGAGAGCCCTCCTTTTATAGGAGTAGCAGGAGCATCTACGAGAAATATTTGATTGCTCTTCTAGCAGGAGCTCTTCCTCCATTTTATTAAACAGGTCCAGTTTGATTGCTTTTCGTAAATATTTGAGAAATATAGACCGAGCGAGCCACATATGATTTCCCATCAACCTATTAGAGTTTGATGAATATGTCATGTGTTGATCAAGAGGAATATCAATTGATGACGAGTTTTATCTACTAATGTCTGATATTCAGATTCAGTTGTGGAAGACTAGATTTTTTGAAAAAAATGTTTTCTATCTTTTAGTTTTTTTCTTATGTTTTATACTTATTTAATTATTTCTTTCTATGGAGCATATATAAATTAAGAAGAGATCAAGGAGATACATCCATGCATGCTTGGAAGAATTTGTACAAATTTAAGTCGGAATTATTGGGTTAGGCTTTTTCCATGGCACAGTCGCAAAAGAAGACGATTCGTGACAAACAGAGATGCCAATTATTTGTATTTCCCTGTCTTATTTACGGGCAAAATATAATGTACATTCACACGTTGACGGTGACATTAATGTTATCTTTGGCAACAGCTTATATTTATTCTTTTTCTTTACAATAATGTTCATTTCGTTTTTGAGTGATTAATAATTTAATACAGTAAACTTCAGGTGTTTCTTTACTTTCTAAACCTTATCAGATTTGAAATTTCAAAAAAAAAATAACATAACCAAATGTCTTTGCAATGTTGTACATATACTAGCTCCGGGTGGAGGATTTAAGAATTGAGCTAGATGAGTGCACCATCAGTGTTGTTCTTGGATTTTTTTTAATAAGCTACTCTCTCCGTCCGGGAATAAACTTCCCGGTGTGACTTTTGCTTCTTTCTAGTGAGTGCTTTACTAAGATATGAAATGCCAAAACTACCCTTAATGAAAGAAAACTTTAAAAACTGAGATTTTCACACAAAGTGGCCGAACAAGGACTAAATAGTTCAACAACTCCAACTGTTGAAATGATTACAAAATGGGCATGGATTGTTACATCAAATCAAGGATTACATTACATAAATTGGCAATTCCCTCCATTTTTTTGGAAACCCGCACAAAAAGGTTAGAGTCCTACTCTCTAAAGCATTATTGCCTACATAACCCCCCCCCCCACTCCTTTCCTTTTTTGGCCTGCACTCCCATGTCTTCTTCTTCTTTTTCTTCTGCAACCTTTTATGGAGTATGCTTTCACAATGAACCTTATTCCTTTTTCTGTTTTCTTCCCTAATTCCTTGAGGCATACACACATATAGACCAATGAATACCACTCACATAAACACCAAAAAGTTGGACAACACAACACGACAGGTTATTAGTGAAGTACTACTTTCACATGCAAAGAAAAATGCAAATGGTTCATACTCAGCTCAGTACGGACATATCAACACGCTTGCTGCAGAATTTAATGTGTCTAGAAAAACAGTGAGCAACATATGGGCCATTGCAAAGAAACAAACAGAGCAGGGCATTGCCATTGATGTGAGAAGCAAACTGGCAGGAAACAGTGGTAGAAAAAAGGGCAGTGATGGATATAAAGAGGATTAAAAGAGGTATGCTTAGGAGCCATTCTAATGCTATAAAACCATACCTCACATATGCCAATACAGGGCAGGTAAATCAAAAAAGGTTCATAGCTAAAGTGATATTTCTGTGTGTGGTTGGGAGACCACTATTTGGGGATAATGGAGAAGTGTTATGGGATGGCATAGTTGGCATATTTC